CAACCTGTCTTATCAATGTAATTGCACAAACTCCTTTAGGACTCTAATCATATATCTGAAGCAGACGATTACATTCTATCATAACTGTGCATTGTATACACCCAAGTGAGTCTCATTTATCCCCGTAAGCTACATTTACTGTAGTGATCACTCTCCTCAAATGAACTCACATTTTTTTCACCGTGTATGTCCTGTTTCTGATGTTACCTCTTGGAAATGACATTTTGGCCAGCAGGTTTGGCTAGCAAAGATATTCAGCTCAGTTTTCTTGGATTTCATCCAATTTTGCATCCTGGTATGATTTTTGTTGAACTGTCGAGTGGGGTCTTTTTTTTCCATAGTTCGTCTCCCTCTTGTGTCTCTATTTCAGTGGAATTGTATTTCTATTTTTCGGGGAAGTGCATCTCAGATTCCAGTCTCTTGTCTTTTCCTTTCCCCCATCTATGGTGCGTGACTACCTCCCCTCCGACCCTAGAGAGAAAGGCTTCCTCTGACCATCTCCTATAACTGGCTTCATCCGCTCTGGAGAAGGGCATGTCTTAACACGTCCACTCACTTTCACAATGTGAGGCAGGGAAACATTCTAACCTACTGATAGTAATGAGGATAAAAAGAACAGAAAAGAAAGAGACAGGGATATCTAGGTCGTAGATTGCTTGTTACAGATCTCAAAATAATACATTGGTCTGTTACCAGTAGATCAGATGGATGATAGGCCTATGGCTCGCTCCAAACAGAATTGCATAGATTTCCTTTCAGCTGATTTGATTACTTAGGCTTTTGAATCCTCTGCTAGATATAGTTTGGCATGCTTCATTTGGCAATGGCTGTGTACAATTAGTAGTCACAGATTTGTCATCGTGTTATATTGACTCAGTAATCTTTAGTGCACAGGATGGATTGTTTGTTGAAAGTTAAAGTTCACTTTTGCGGGGCATAGTTTTCTTCTTAGATTGGAAATTTGTAATCAATAATGGCTCTAACTTTCAAAGTTCTCCTAATGAAAGCAAGTAACTGCAGTCTCATTATCCTTACCTTGGAAATGACTTTTCGTTATGCCAGTGAGAAAAAGTGATTTCTGTGTCAGCACATATTGAAGCACAATCTGCTAACAGGGATGCTCAGCATTATTCCTTCATGCATTACCCAAAATTTCTATTGGGCATCTCTCTCAGAGGTCGCTTTGTCTAAGTTCCCCCTGCACTCTGTTTTCCAATACAGGATTTATCTGATGAATACATGCAATCTGAGGAGGATTGCCAGTGGAACAAAGGTGGAAGAACGGGAGAGTTTGAACTTAAATGCCAAGGAAATCACTAAAAGTAAATCATTTAAAGGATGGTTTTAAGCTTTTTGTGGTTTTTACATTTTAATGATAATATTGGCCTACTGACTTCAAGAAGCAGGAGTTTGTTGTAAAAAAAATTCACAATGAATTGCTGGGTTGTCGAATTGTCAATATCATCAGTGACAGTAAGTCATTCTCATGTTGCAGTTACAATTGGTCATTCTCAAAAATGTTGCTCTGAAAGCTGTCTACTGGAGAAAATTGCATTCAATGTTAAATGATCACTACATCTTAAGCTTAGATTGTCATTATGTATGGGCCTAAATTTATCTTTGAAATGCTAAATGTTGCCAATTGATACCTGGATGGATGACTTTTGATTGGCATATGATGATGTTAGTGACTTGGATTGACTTTCACATATTATTGGCTTGGCATTACTTATGATTGGCTTATGATTTATTTGAGATGACTTGTGATTGACTTGTGAGGGATTAAGACTTGTGATTGGCGTATGGTTTTGGATGATTCATGACTGACTTGCGATGTGCATGGGATAACTTGTGATTGGCTCATGATTGGTTGCAATTCTGTATGCCATACTAATGTCACAGTGTATGAAACCTCACGTCTGGCATAAATTAATGGTACATGTACATAGTTTGATATCCTTACTGCAGGATTCCAATTAGGAATAATGTACTATCACATTCACATAGTCACTTTGGTGACTATCTCATACAAATGTAAGTTGAAGAAACATGCCATACACGATCATGAAATAAATAAAAAGCCACTCGTCAAGTGATCTTTTGTCATTTTAAGCCTTAAAACAGCATTCATTTTTGTGTCTGATCTATCAAACAAGCTATAAAAGACCACAAAACTCATAAAATACAAGTCAGTGAAACTTTGCAGGAAAAATAACTCAAGATAAGTTTAACTAATATGGTTAGAAGCCTAGACAAATAACTGCTGGTAGTTTCAAATTCTGCTTGTCACAGGGGTTGATTTAACTCAATAAGCTTGTCTTTTTTCAGATTTTGCCAACATAGTTGGAAACAAAAATTCACATTTTGCTCAAAGGTTCTGTAATAATAACCCTTCTTTTGTTGGCTCTAATTCCAGACTGCCTGGTCTAAACCCCAAGGAAAACTGGCAAAAATGTTCACACTCGACTAACTGTGGCACTGAACAAAAGATGCATTTCTTGTGCGAGCATGCACACTCAACCACTTTGCATAACCATCCTTATGTGGTATGGCTCACTAAACTGGGACACACACAGTGAACTCAAGGTAGACTGCATATTCATTAGACCTTAACTATTAACCAATGAGAATTAGGAAAATAAAATACACACTGAGAGCCTTTTTTTACAGGAAATTTGCAAGACAACATACACAAATCATTTGTTTAAAAAAACACACACAACAAAACAGGCTAAATGTGACAACCATAAGTGTAGAGATCAAGAAAGCAAGTGCTGAGAACTCTCAAGGTTCCAGCTGTCAGTTTCCATTGTTTGTATAGATTTGACTCTAAGTCTGAGCAGTTTGCCAAAAGAAATTATATCAGCATTGCATATAAAGTGATTTTTCTTCCAAATTGTTCATTTAGGTAAAACCTGGGCTTTATTCAAAATTAACCAACTGGAACCTTGACTGGATACTTTTACTTTGATCAACAGAGCCGAGAATCATGCTTTAATTCTCTTTTGCCACTTCAAAAGTGCATGCATAACTTCAAAAAGAACTTCTTTCAAAAAGGACAAAGGGACTCAACATGACTCATTTTTACATGGCTTGATGTGAGTGCATTCTTCTTCTTGTACTGGTAGTATTCTGTTGTAGCAATTTTGTATTGGTGCTTGTCCGAGTTTCTGAGATACTAACCTGTTCTCAGCTTTTGTAACTGTGTCCTGCAGTCCAATTTGGTTTCCCAAGACAGACCTTTATTCTTCCTCTGCAAACTGTATGGTTCATACCGTTGAGGGTTGAATCTCTTGTGGATTGACAAGAAGGCGTTAAGAGAATGTCATTGGTGCATGCCAGTTCATTAGGTAGAAACCAGACTGCCTTCTTGTGACATGAGAAGTTGCCAGTCCCAAGTGACTGAAGCAAATTTACTGCGCACTTCCAACTTTATTATTTGTATCCTGACCTTATTTTTGTGTCAGTGAAAATTTTTAACACAGAGACCTATAAATTATAATCACAGATTGGAAAATATTTACATAAAATTGTGGTATTTGTAAGTCTGCATTCTCCCATCGGTAAAGATGGATTTCTGAACACCGGGGGAAGACTTTTGCTGCACGATTTCCATGGAATAAAGTCAGAATGAAGTGTGGCTGTCTGAAGACAAATTGGAGACTTGTTCACTCTCATCAGAAGGGCTTTCCAGGACTTTGTACTTTCTGTCATGTTTCTTTTTGTTGTTGAAGATGAAATGCCTAGGTTCTTTTTGAGGTATTGCTTAAACAAACAAACAAACAAACAAACAAACACCCAAACAAACAAACAAACAAACAAACAAACAAACAAACAAACACCCCAACAAACACCCCAACAAACAAACAAACAAACAAACAAACAAACACCCCCAACACCCCAACAAACAAACACCCCAACAAACAAACAAAACAAACAAACGAACGAGCGAACGAGTGACTGAGCAAGCAAGCAAGCAAAAGTGAGGAATCTCTTTTGTCTCAAGTTATGATGTGCTAATCCAGAGTTTTTAAGATCAAGAAAACTACTTTCTCAGGGAGTTTTGGGATGGCAGCTCAAACATTTGCAAGAAAGAAATGTGAAGCCTCTTTTTGTTTTCAGTCCTGTTTATCATATGTGTAAATCAATTTTCTCCCTGTTGTCAGAGAGCTGTAATGAGTACATTTTAATACAATGTACCAAGAACTGTTGTCTTCAGATTTTCATTTCTGACATAACGTATGGTACATGCAAGCCATAAATGACTTGTCTGCAAGCTGGCTGTGATGCCCAGAGGCAGTTGTCATCATAACTTTCAGTCCCAAAATAATCTCTGAAGTATCTCTGTGAATCAGTCCTTATTTTCAATAAAGCATTTTGATTTCAGGCTATACACATGTAGATAGCTGTCTGGTAAGCATCCCTCGTGTCATAATTTACCCTATTAAACCACCTGTTTAGGAGACTTTCCTGGCAGGAATAATCAATTGCTTGTTTACTTTTTTGAACAAGACAAGTAACAGTCATACTGAAGGGGAAAATCTGGGGAAGAAGTTTGAGCAGGTGCATCATGATAGATGCAACCAAGAACTGATTTTTATCAGATGAGATGTATTTGTTTCAAGTTCATTTCAAGAGTTTCATTTGTGGGACTAAAATTTTCATTTTCCTAACTTACAGTTGGGAACATAGTTCCATAGATTGTGCTAACTGGACTGTGATATCATGCCAATTCTTGAAGAAGAATTCACAGTGTAATCCTTATTAAACCTTTACATTCTTATTCAACTTATTAAAAAAGTTCAAAGCTGAATGCTTGTTACTGACAGGCCTACCTACAGTGTGAGTGCTGCAAGGTTCTCCGTGTTCTCATTCTAGCTTAATCCACCTAGGTTCTCTCTGCCTTCTGCTAGTAAGAAAATGCTGATCAATATAGCACAGCCTGTACAGGTCCTTGGGAATAGTAATAAATGCTTTGTCATTGTCGTTTTCCTATGCAGGTTGTGTATGGTCTCCCATTTGGTCCAGAGATTGACATGTGGTCCCTGGGATGTATCTTGGTTGAGGTACTCATTTCAAAGAGAAATAGAAAAAGTTAATAATTTTGATTTCATTTTCTTGTGAAGTACTGAATGATGGTGAAAATGGAGTCTTTTGCCACAATAAGTTGTTTCTGTTACATTATCACATAACACTCAGGTACACTGTATGAGATATGTAAATATGTTTACAAAGAATGCTTTCAGAAAAAGTCCACCATGACTCCTAACAATAGAACCATTGTCTAGGTTACATGGCCCATAACACATAAGTGGTGGCTACATGCATTGAACAAATTGCCAGTTTTGGGGTCCCTGTGCAAAGTTAAGTTTGGATTGAAAGTAATAAACAGATTTTATTTTATTCTAGCAGAACAATTATAGAAGTGAATACGACACTTGCACAATTACGTGTATAAAAGGCATTAGTGCGACAACCAGCACATGAACCAGAAGGTGGGTGTATTCCTCTCATTTGCACTACACTTTCTGGTTCAAATGATGTCATGCTGTTCATGTGGATATACTTTGCCTTATTTTTCAGCTGTATCTGGGAGAACCTCTGTTCTTTGCTGTTACCAAGGAAGAGCTGCTTCAGAAGATGATTGCCGTGCTTGGTCCACTCCCTGTCCAAATCTTCCAAAGGGGAAAGTTCTACTCTGAGTTTGAGCATTTCATTGGCAAACCACAGACGAAGCTAGGTAAGGTTGATAGAAGGCATTGCTGGGATAGGTACAAGGGACACTTGATGCTGAACTCACAGTCAGTGTCGTGAGTCAAGTGTACTCAGGTATAAGTGTGGACATAATTTTTTATTGGCAAGCCACAGACTGTTCCAGGAAAGTGAAAACTTTCCGATTTTAGAAACCTGTTTTGAATGCACAGAAGGCGTTATTTCCTAAGTTTCCTTCGCCTGTCAGACACTACCAGTACTTCGCCTGAACTGGGAAAGATGAAATTCTAAATGTGAATGCTAAATCCACAGCCTCACTTCAGTGCAGTGTTTTGCTTTAAAGGTCCAGTCCATCCTTTGTCATTTGTGCAGTAATGGTTCTTTGAGGCAACAGAACTACTCAAAATCTACAGAAGGGTGCCCAAGAACTATATGTAACCTGATGAGTTTTAGCTCTGTGAATATTGTGTACTCTGAGAAAAACTGTATTCTAGAACATTCTAGCATCCTAAATTCTCTTAGTCTTAATACATGTATTCTAGGATTTCAATTTAAGATAAAAAGTTGATGAATCTTGTTTTGAATTGTGCCTGAATTCAGCATCTGGGACACATTTTCATGTGCGTTAGAATGCAGCAACGTAATGTCTTGCACTTAACCAGTGAATCATAGTGACCACACGTGTGTGTGGAGTTTTAACACTTGAGCACACTTCTAATGGTATTTTGCCCAAACTGATATGGCCTTCTTTCATAATTTCTTCAAAATGACAGCTTGCCAGAAAGAATAATTTCACATAGAGTTTAGTCCCATAACCATCTTTAAACCAAGTATTTTTGTCAACAATAACTTGGTCAATTACTTTTTGGATAACTGCAAATGATGAAATGTACCTTCAAGTTTCTGTATAGCAACAAATACTCACTTGTATGAGTAAACCAGGGCGTATTTACAACACTGCTTGTAAGAACAGATCTGTTTTATGGTGGCAGGAGTCGGTTATATTGGACCTTCAACATTGCTTTCTTTGGTTGGCCAATTTTGGGCTGTAACAGTGTGAAATTACCATAGTATGATCTTTGAAAATGAAATCTTATTGAGCTATTTTACCCTAAAAATTTCCAGGTTTTTTTGTGACTTACCCTCTTGCTTTGAACTCATTTCTCAACTGCACTTTTTCATTCTTCAACACCTTTGAGCTGAAATGTGATTGTTACACACTAATGAGGCAATTTTGCCACTGAAAAAATGTATTCTTAGCGTTGATCAGCCATGTAGCATAGAAGGGTCGGGATATGCCGTGCATACTCCAGCAGCTGATTAATTTAACAGATTTTGCTGTGTCTGTACAAATTCTGTGGACAAAAATGAGGAGCATTCAATAGCCACAGACTACATGGTGCACGTAGGACTTGTTGATATTAAAAAGAAACAATAGGGCAGTTGGCATTAGGTATACACTGCACTCAGACAGTACATGTACCTTGATCAGGCATCTAAAAGTACTGTAGCTGTAGTTTAGAAACCCAGGTAATGTTGCTTGTACTTCTTCGATATCAAGGAATGCCTCACACGTTCTCAACCATAAACACTTTAAAAATGACTCTTGCCACTTTTAGAAGCTAAGATTTAGAGCTAATGGGCCATTACTGCCCATAGGTCCATGTACATAAAAGGTAATTGCCTGGAAATATATATAGTAGGCATTAAGATTCAACGTGAATTATTGATACTTAATGACAGCAGTGACTTAGCCATGAAAAGACCCTTTCATCTTGGCATCGTGCTTTGCTTTTGAACCAGCTCAAATTGAAAATTTGGGAAAATTGAAAACTTAAATAAAACTAGGTTATTTTCAGTATTAATATTGATGTTTGATTCAAAGCATTCTGTTCAATGACTGATGCCTACGTATCTTTACACTTAACAAATTGATAGTGCAATATATTTTTTTTCACTTAACGGGGTCATTATATCTGGATGAATTCTAAGAACCTAACCCCAAAAGCTACATTAGCACCAATTTGCAGCACTTCACCCTAATTCCTGAAAGCATTGCCCCTCATTTTTAAAGACATGGATGATGGACTCTGTGCGTGGCACAACCATCACACCTGAGCCCCTTGCTTTTAGTTTAACAATGATGCTTGGCTAACACCGTTGGACATAAATCTGTAAGAGGAGAAGGGTTAGGGCTGCTCAATGGCAAAAGTAATCACTCAATGCCTGCCCACCATTAAGATGATAAATGACAGCCTTTTTACAATAATCAGTTTACTGAATGAAAAACTGTATGCCCTAGTGTCCTCTCAAAGATAACTCGTAGTTGTTGACTTCTAGACTGGAGGACATGTGGTCTTACTTTTGAAAGAAAAGAAATCACAATGTCATCACCTTAAGTTGACTGCATTTATATCTTGGATGATGATTTGGAATCACATGTTTTATATATGACAAGTGTTCAGGACTTACTTGTGCACGTACTCGTGGAGAAAAATTGTCTTGCAATGGAGAAATATGCTGAAATGAGTGAATTTAGTGTCATCTGCAGGTACTTCCCTGGGGTGACATATTATGTACATATAGGTAGCCAGTGGAGGTACCCACTAGAGATACCAGTTTGTTGTGGGTTATGCTGCCTGCACCTGGTTATATGTGTGTTATTTTAATGTGATAAATCTTGCCAGGTCTTACTCATTCACTTGAAATGTAGTCCTGTACACCCCATTCCAGATTGGTAAAGGTAATAGAGTACACTCACAATACCCGGCATGTCCTATACTGCCATTCTGCATACAGCCTGTAATTTGTGACAAACGTCTGTCATAAAAACTACCTCTGAGTATCCATGGATGCCTCTAATGGAGATACATGTAGATTCATTACACAATTAGTGTCAACTATGAGGAGGTCTGTGATGTGGTGTAACAGCTATGAGAGAGATCTCTTAGAGTCTTTATGCATGTTTAATGAGTATCTACCCATCCATGTATGGGTGTAGTTGATATACCCATGATATCAATGAGCGACAGTGGTTACATCAATACAACCTATTAGATATTCTTGTGCGATTAGATTAAAAATACACCAGGTAAAATTTCCGCAGTCCAACCCACATTTCCAACCCACAAGTATAACAAAATCTACATGTACATGTGTTTTGCTATTTGGAGTTTTTTGTTTCGTCGTCAAGCTGAAAGACATAACCTCTTGGATTTACCACTTATTGCTGGAGAGGAGGACTTTCTACATAAATCCTGCTCAGAATGTGTACATGTATACATAGAGTTGCTGGTGCAATTGCAGAGGGAGTTGTGTGAGACTTTTATATCCACCTTGCTTTTGATAAACTACCTCTAATGGAGATAATAAATTTCCCTTTGGAAATGCTGGCTGGACTTAACCATCTGGCTTATGTTTTGTGTGTAAAACTAATGGAAATTAAAAAGTGTTTGGATCTTTTACACCGCAAAGACATATATTAGGAAAGGTTTCTGTGAACTTTTTGAACAACGAAGGAGATACCACTATCGAATATTTGTACTTGGTGCATCATTTTTCACAACTCCCATGCTAAAATTCCACTGTTTTCAGTTTTCTTTAAACTAAAAATATATTCCTGTGTCTTTTTAGTTGTTGTTATTGCCAGAATTTTCACTTCTTGTCAGTTCCATAATTGCTCAATTTCATTCAATTTGTCATCTTTCTTCCCTGTTGATTTTTACAGAGACACAAAGCAAGCTATTCCGTCGGCTTGGAGAACTACATGATTACAACTTTGGTAGTTTCATTCTGTCTATCCTGCAATACAACCCTAGTAGGTGACACACTGATTGATACTCATGGATTGCTTATCATGACTTGCTATTGGCATAATATAATTGACACTATGAAGTCTGCATAAGTACATGTAGAACCCCATCAGCCAAAACATTGCTCAGTTTGATGGCAAATGTCATCTTGGTGATTTTGTAGTCTAGTTCAGAGATACAACACAAGGCTACCACAGCTTACTTTGGCAAAAGCATTGTCTTCTGTGGTTTTGCACACATTTGCCCACAGCTTGACCCAAAGTGAAAAGTCTTTTCTGGATGAAACTGGATTGAAAATATTTCTGAGAAAAGTTTGCTTACTGACCTACTGTTAGTTACAATTCACACACAAAAAAGCAAATTTAAAACAGCCATTTATCTATACAATTCTGGTGTAATTTAGTGCTTAAATAGTTGTAACGATTTCTTCCTGAGAGAATACACTTTAGGTCATAAATATGCACATCTGCATCAGTATAAAAATGCACAAAAGTGCTGGAAATTGCAAAATGAAGTTTAAAATTAAGGTTCTGTGGGACACCAAAGTGCATTCTAGGGACTGCATTATAAAATTAACATTGCATGGACCCTTAACCCTAACCCTCCTCAATCCTCCAACAGGTGAAGGATTGAGGAGGGTTAGGGTTAATCTTAAGGTGATTAGGTTTTGTTGAGCTCTTTCTTGCCTTACTTTTCTCTTTGGGTCTTGGGAGACATACGCCTTTTGGCGACAGTTTACTTTTAAACTTTTATGTTCTCCTGGCCAGCCCGCTGTGTCTTGTGATTGTCTTGTTGCATGTTCAATTGCCCCAAATAAATATTCTTTGTATTCCTATTATTATTATTATTATTATTATTATTAAATATTGATGGAGCAATAGTAATCTCCATATGTGCACAAAAATCAGTGCAAAATGGATGTACATGGACATGTAAAGCCCACATTTATCAAACTTCAAAACGTGCAGTTGTCTACTGCAATTTACCCTGTACTGTACAGGAGCAATTATTTGTACTTGAGAAAAATCACATTAAGAATTTTAGAAAATCCATGTCTCCTTAATGAGAACTAAGGGATTCAATAGTTGATGATTCATGGACCTATTCTCTCCTGAGTACAAGTTCTTTTATCTCAGTTCTATGTAATCTTTTTACATCTCAAAAGTCTTTGGCTTGCCCTGCATGTAAGTATCTGATGTATTTATTTGATTTATTTATCCAGGGTTTGCCCAAACAGTTTCCTAAAACTGGTTCCATTGCGGGCCCTGCAAACACTCTTAATAATGTTACATATACACATGTACAGTAAAAACAAAACTTTGACATTAGACACTTTTACAATTTTAATAACAATAATAGTATTTATTTTGGCAATAGAACATAGAACAAGACAATCCCAAGACGCAGCGGGCCGCCCAGGAGAATATAAAAGTTTTTAAAAAAAACTGTCGCTAAAGGCGTACGTCTCCCAGAATTTTATACAGTTAAATGATTTGTTGTATCATTGATTCATTATAGTTTTGGTAAAGTGAAGAAATCTCTTAATCAATTTTTTTTCCCTAGGTGAGCGAATCTCTGTTAGTGATGCATTCCTTCATCCATTTCTTGCTCCAGAAGTTGCTGCTAGATTTCTCTTACCTCCCAGCTCTAACGGTAATTAACAGCTGTCATATTTTACACGACAATCATTTCTGATACTTGGCTTTCTGCCTGTTGTCTTATTCATGTGTTATAGTGCCACCATGTAGACCAGATTGTTAAGCAACTGGCCAGATAGAACATTTCAGATGAGAGCCAGTAACAAGTGTTGTATACATGGACCACATATCATTCCAGCAAGTACCTGTAATCTGGTTTTATGAAGTCAAACTTGTTTATGTACAACAAATTTGTGATATGCATAGTTGCAGGAAATTTTTGTCTAAGTTGCTGTATTTTTCATCTCTTCTGTTAGCATGCCCATCCACATATAAGAAATTCAACATTCCTGCAAGCGTCTACACATTATCTCCAGTTATCTCTTCTGAAGTAGCTACTGACCATCTCAAGAGTGTGGATCTACTTCGACGAGGGACTACATCCATCCAGGCAGAGCCAATCCAAATCAGGAGACCCAAACGTGCTGTTGCAGAAGTGGCACCATTTGCTCCCAAGGATACTCAAACCCTACACAATGACTTGGACAAGGTTGCTACCGTGGCATTTTCGAACTCATCAGCCACCAAAGTTGCCAGTCAAAGTCATGGTCAGTATGCAGTGGAGCCATCATTGCAGGAATGTATAGGCAAACAAGAACAGCCTGAATGGTGTAATCCATCAGTAGGTTTAGATATGAAGGCAACTAACCAGGAAAGATTTGGCTGCAGTTCAAACAATAAATTGTTTGGATCAAAGTCAAATAGCATTGCCTTTACCAATTCAAGAGACCTGCAGACTGTGTTGGAAAATTCACCCACTGTTGAGAAGAGATACAAGGATGGAAATGTTAACAATAAAACAGGCATTGAACTCGGCAAGATTAATGTAACAGTGCAGCCTTCACTGACGTCAGATCAAAAGTTGAAAGATCCTCTTGTTCTCAGTAATGTTATGAGTAACTCTCCATCTAGCAAAAAAGAAATTGGGACCCTGGTATCTCATATTGAAAAGACAATCAAAGCAGAGTGCCAGCAGCTTGAAGGGCTCACTCATATGCCAGAAGAGGCCAGATTTAAGCATCTTAAGGAGATGAAAATGGAAGCTCTCAAAGAAGACTTGGAAAAATCTTTGGAACCGAAACCAGAAAGTAGCATGTGGTACCAGTTGCTCTATCATGACACAGAAAACAGCAAGACTGAATTGATGGATATCACTGAGCCTTCTCAAAATACCAACCATCATAGAACTCTAACAAAGACCAAAGCAATGGTACTATCCACCTCGTCTAATCCACAAGATGTTGTCAGTGATAGCTTGAATCTGCTGACTCCTATAAACTATTCACAATCTCCAGAGTGCTCCACACAAGAGCTGAAGAAAGATGTTGATGAGGCTACAGTTCATCAGATATCCAAAATATTAAAGAGGCAATCACAGGATCTGTCTCCTCGTAACACGACATTAAAGAGTGAGAAGGTATCAGCAAGCCTTGGGTCAAAAAAGAAAAGCCCAAAGCAAGATATTTTATTGGCAAAGAAATCCAAGCAGCAAACAGAAACCACGCTCCTTTCTGAGCCAATGTTAAATGCAAGTATCAAGAACCATGAAATTCCAAGACATACTGAGATAAGCAAAAGTTGCCTAGATGAGCCAAATCTCTCTAAAGATGTCACAATAAATACCACTACTACTGAACGAAAAGCCACCATGGATTTCAATCCATCAAAAAGCTTGAAATTAAGCCAAAGGCCAACCTTCAAGCTGAATCCACTGTCGCGGATAAGAAGGAGCAAAGCTCGGGCCCAGGAGAGAATCAAAGCCAGACATGATTTTATAAGCCAAGAACCCTTCCACTGGTGGGAGTTGAACTCAGGAACACAGAGCAAAGAAGACAATCATGATGCTGCTGAGGTTATTTGGCAAAGAGATGGTAATGATAAAGGCCATCGAGCTGAGAGTAAAGAGGTATTACCAATCAAACTTGTGAAAGATTGTCAGCCTTCATGCCAGATTACCACCAGTCTATCATGCTTTAATATTCCACAGAAATTAGAAAGTAAGACTCTTTCCAGAAATACGAAAGAACTGAAACATTCTAAGGGGAAGCTCATAACAAAAGATACATGGAAGTTCAAGAATCCAGCTCGGTCACGAGGAGGTGTGCCTCAGACATCATTACAGTCTCAAAAATTGAAAAAGACTCTCTCAGATGCTGACTTGAAATCAAAAAGAGTTAAACAAAATCTGGGGAATCCATGTTCTGGCAAATTACACCATCACAGAGAGATTAAAATCATTTCACAGGTACAAGATCCTGCTGAGAAGCCGAGAATGTTACAAAAAAAGAAATCAGGAGTTACCAGGAATATTATCCCATCTCCAGCTAAATCAGGGTCAAATCACCACACAGACACTTCTGAACATGAAGTCAAACCAAAACATGACGTTAGTAAAAGTGGACATAGCCCTGATAAAGGTGAAATCTCAAGGAGTAAAGAAAGTCGGAGATCAGGTGTAAGAAAGAAAAGAAAACTGGAGCATCCACTCAGTAATTATGAGGATGCTACATTAACAAGGAATGTCCCTATAAAATCATCACCACTTGAAAATGCTAGTGTTAGAATCACACCAACCATCCAGGCAGACTCACTTGTGGAAGTTAAAAACATCAGACCAAAAGATGATAGAAGTGGAACTTGTCAGGAAGAGGTAAGCCATATTTCTTTATCAAACCCAAGGTAGGTTAGTCTTAACATTTTATTCAACATATGATTTAAACAAAAACACATTAGTAATGCTCATATTCTAAGGAAATCAGACAGGACTATTTCTTAAGGAACTGAGGATGGTAATATTTTGAATGCGGTGACAACTTTACCCAGCTTACTTGCAAGCTGTTTGTACCTGATTCAAATGATAAATAAGAAATTTAAGTACGATTTAAATTCTGTTAAGAAAACATCTTTGAAGCTTCATTTCATTGAAAGCTTGTATGATTTGTACTTCATGTATCTACATTTATATAAATGTTCTTTGCATAATTGAGTACAGAATTTGATGCCAGATCACAAATTTGGCAATCAGTTGACTCAGGACATTCCACAAAAGTCAAAAGGTGTGGTCATTACATCTACAATGTACTCGGCAATAAAGTTTTAACCACTTGCTGCCAGGGAACCCTATTTCGAGCACCATGGGTTTATACGCAGAGCCAGGGTGCCTGAAATGGGACAAAAGAGCTGGTCTGTGTAATAAAAGACGGTACTCGGAACAAAAGACCTGCTGCTTGGAATTGCCATCATTTTTTGGCTTGCATTTTTTGAAGGTAATCCGTCACTATTTTTAATCAATATACCACTGTTTTGGGCATAGCGCCCCGTGAATTAGCACTGCGGACAAAAGTGCTCCAGGGCCCTCTCATCATTGATGAGCGACACAGCACCGCTGCATGCTAATCCAGCTGCGTTTGAAAAGATGCCACTCGTGTTCATTGGGAACAAAGGAAATTATGCAACACCTCACAATTCTGGGCTCTCTTTACAGGGCAGCAGGCCTGGCTGGAATACTCAGGAATCAGTGGAGGTTCCTGTCAGATTAGAGTAGCCACCAAACAGTCATTCATGTGGGTGTAAATGTCCATTAAATGAAATTATGAATTTTTGAAGAATTTTGAAAACTGAAAATCTTGAAAGTCTCCCTTATGTGCACACTGCATTTTTAAAAGCACCCGGTAGCAAGTGGTTTAAAAGAGACAAGAAAGAACTGTCGATCACCCCTGCGTCTGATATTACCAGCAATCTATTTTGCAGGAATGAAATCATTGACATACTGTTTACTTTGTAAGATGGTGAGGGTTTTGTGTAGATTCTCTTATGCGTGTATTGCCATCTGTTCCTGCAGCAGTCACATCAGAAGCTTAATCTAAACCCTGGGAATGAGTCTGAAAAGGATGCTAATGGTCCAGCAAGTTCATCACCTTCCAATTCAGAAGAGGATGATGTAAGAATTTATCACCCTGTAGTCCATCTCCATGGATATCCTCCGAGAGCCTGGACTTGTCTGTGTTGTTGATCCTTAGTCCTCAAGCTTTTTGTCAGAATTCATTTTACTTACATTTGCCACAATTTTGTGTCACCACTGCATGCGTGCATGATATTTTGAATTGAATTTAGCATCCAGTGTGTATTGTTCTCTAGCTTTGTTGCTCCTAACCAATTCAATTTGGAAGTGAGCTTGATCACCTACAACCCTGTGAATTGTTAAGCTATCTTTTTCTGCACCGTGATTTTCTCAAATACATTTCATTATTTTTTACCATCACAAAATGATGCACCACAGTAAATTTCTCAAGGTGATCCCTTAAACATCATAATATCCTCAAGACAACCAGACTGGGGGGGAACAGACATGTTGGGAAAATAAAAGATCAGATCAACAAATTGGCCCTGATTTCTTCCTGATGTTTCAGTATGTAAAACATAAAGGTTGTCATCAGGATGATCAGGTGTTAAATGTCAATGGTGTGATGTATACATCTCTGTAATTGTTCCCAGGCCAGACTGTTTAGAAATGAAGTAAACACTGTCTAAATATCGGTCAATCAGACTGGACCATGCTGACCGCCGAGGGTTTTAAATGTACATCTGATTGCATAGAAAAGTGCATGAGGAGTATTGGATAAAAGCTGGAGATGTTTGGTTTATGCTGATCACACTGATGAGTTAGGACTGGTGGTCCACATGCAGTATGTAGGTGATTGTTGCTGGCATAAATGAATACTTCCTGTGACATCAAAAAAGTAGAAAACCAATAAATGTACATCAACAGGTTGGTGCCATAATTTGAAAAATTAATTAATTTCATGTAGTTTTTGTGGAGATGAGATAATCATTTGCTTTGGTTGTCTGATTGGAAACCTAGTAATTTTAATATGCAGAGTTGCTCCTAAATTGTTGTAACGTGGTTTTATTTCCTACATGTAAATTACGTATTTGGGCTGGTTAGTTGAGTTGGTTGATTTTTTTCTTTCTGTACATAGGAGGTACTTCTACTGTGAATGGTATGCCATTGAGCAGAGGACAGTGAATGGTGTTCAACTTGCAGTCCATTCTGGAACTCCATTGTATGACATGAGTGATCAAATGTGATAGCAATAAGTGTGAACAGTGTGACCACTGTTAACTCAGTGTATATCATGTTGCTCACATTGGTGAACATGCAAGAATCGCTGAGAGGTTTTTAGTGTTGTATCCATTCTGTCTCAGGTTTTCCTGTTACATAGAAGCTACGGAAAAAAAACAAGTACATTGAAGACTTGAACGCACACTTGACATTTGACACATTCAGTTCAGATGCGAGCAGATCTGACGAAATATGTCAAAACGTTTTCAGTACATTGTTTAAAGTTTGCTTTAAAAAGAGTAAACTAAACTTTCATTTTGATGTATCAATCCATCTGGCATCCTGAAGAAAAAAGACTTGTGGGTGAAAAATGAAAAATATTCACTGTGCAAGGTTCTTTTGAAGATATGTTAATTAATCAAAAGTGGCTCTTATAACTAGTGACTCACTTTGTTGGGTTGGGTCACATATTTTTTCCGTAGTTTGATGGACTGCTCATATGTACAATGGTTGCTGTGAGGACCAGCAACAGTGTGGGGACTCTTAAAAGTCCTCACAGTTGCTACAAAGTTTTCTAATAGAAATTTTCTCCAGGAAATTCCAGTCATCATGGCTCATGTGTCATTATTGTAAAGGAAGTACATTCCTTTTGCTCTGGTAAGCATGATACCTGAAGCAGTGTATGCACAGTTGATAGCCAATAAAACCATGCGACTATTGTCACCTCACATGGTATATCTAAGAGTGTCAAATCCACATTGTCAAAGTAGATCTTGGATGACTGCTTGCAATGACTGCATTTATTGCTTGATACTTGGACATCTTGAGGCAAGTTTCAACTAACTTCATTCAAGTGTAGGATAGTTGGATAATGTATTCAACTACATGTAGTTGCAACTTGACTGTGGTTCCAATGCCAGTTCTCGGTAGCCCAGTTTTAGACAGGGAACCTTTGACATGAAAACTTGGTGGCAAGATGGCATGAAATGGCAAGGACCACAAAAGCATTGAGAAATGTGACTAATTGAAAATTGTGACCGGTGACTTTCAATTTGGCAGCACTGGTTCGACTGGGACCTTTACATTGTCAAGAGAAGCTTGACTACCTGGTCTAACCAGAGCTTAGAGTGGCTAACATGGGTTCATAAACAGGTCTTACTCAACCTTGACAGATGGAAAATCATAGAAATCTGTCCTAGAGAGCAGCTTACTAAAATGAAGTATTTTAAGAAATGACATTTTCAGCATTTTAAGGTGATGATGGAAAGCCTTAAAGAAGAAATAAACTTGATTTTGTGCCTTAATTTAGTGTATTTATGCAACAAAATTTTTGTAAATGGTTTTTATTTGTAAATATGATTGCAATCAAATTGAAGGATCTAATGCCCATTTTTCAGGATTTCACATTTGATATTGAAATACATGCACAAATAGTTCACTTTCAAAGGCTTTAGTTGTCAAACTACTTCTAGTCAAAACACCCGATAAAAGCCTCTGTAAGTCTGTATGCATGTGAGTGCCCCCCCCCGATGGTGCTTGTATTTTAAACCATTCCAGAATAGTCTTGCTTGCAATTGAAATTAAGTCAATTAATTTTTGCAAGTACATGTTTCACAACAGTAGTTTAAAAGAAATATTGTCCCGCTGCTTATTTCATGTGCCTGGAAGGAAACCTTGTATATTTGTGATGTACTAGGATTTGAAGCAAGTGAAAATAGAGGGTTTGAGCCATACAGCTATATTAAATTACTAGAGTGCCAATTTCCAGTTCTCCGTGGAGAAATTTTCAAGCTGTCCTGGGTGCAGACATTTTGAATCCATGTGCGTGCTTGTAGAACATTTGAAATTATCGAATTATGTACTGTAAATGCAGTGCGCATTGGGTACTGCTAAAATCCAATTTAAAAAGTCACAGCAGAATATCTGCAGCACGTACGTGCATGCATTTGTGTTGTTTATGCAGAGCAAAGTGAAATGCTCATTTACTGATTGTGCATTTAGTTTTTTGTATATCGACTTTGTTAATGTATCATTTTAGAATACAGACTTAGATATCCAAATAGCCATACAAAACGTGTTCAAAATTTTGTGTGTTTCATAGGTTTGTGTACAAACATGGATGCACCCAGCAGGCATTCCTTAGTA